TAGTTAACCAGAACACTTAAAGGTTTGTGCCACTTATCCAAATGAGCCCCTTGTTTAATGCCTTCCCAGAAGCTTCTAGGGCTGAGCTCACCCAGCTCTCATGAGTGAGAACATCCCACCATGTGTCCTTGTAAGGGTGAGCAATTTGAGTGGATTCTGTTGTTGTTGTTGTTGTTGTTGTTGTTGTGTACCATCACGTGAGAATCTATCCGTCCCTGACCACCTGGTTTTCAGAGGCAATAAATCACATGAGAAAAGAGTGCCTACCTTTCTCCTGTGGAGCAGCTAGTGGATACAAGCTGTTTGTTTGCATTGGTAGCACGGTTTCTTAGCACTAAGCCACCAGAGTTCCCTGGGTTCTCATGAGAAAGGAAGAAGCGAGCTTGTCTTACAGCTGGTGATGTTCATTTACAAGTCCAGTAGTAGGAAGTAGGATGCTCTTATCAGTGACACTTCAATGACGATTTTTTTTTTCTTCCGTCTAACCTCCACTCTCTGTCTAACCTTATAAACCTAATTATGGGTTCGGGTCTATTCTTGGTTGTTATTAACACACTAACATGCTTAAAAAAAGAAAAAACTTCAAGGGCTTCCTCCTATGACCAAGGTGAAGTTAGAATAACTTAGTCCAATGTGAAATGACTCTTGTGATCTGCTCCTGTCTCCCTTTCAGTCTCATGGCTATCATTTCCCCCCACATAGCCTTAGCTCCTACTGTACAGACTTTTCAGACTCATGAGCATGACTTGGTTCTTTCAAATCACCTTCTGCTTTAGTCTGGATCCTCTAGAGAAGCAGAACCAATTAAGATGTGTATCTATCCCACTGCCTTCAAGTTTGTTTCAACTCATACTTTGTGGAAGTATAGCACAGCTCAGGGTTGAAAAGGGACCAAGCTTTGTCAGAACATCCTTTTATATAATGGAGTGAGACCACACCCCTGAGGAAACACCATCTGCTGCTGATTGGCTAATCATATCCTATCACATCATAAAAAGTGATTACACTGTATTACATTATGGAAACACACCCAGTGTTGTGTCTGCCGACTGCTGAGAATCATATCCTTGCCAAGTGGACATAGGACATTAACCATCACACCTTCTTGAGAATATCATTCCCTGACTTCTTACCTAGCAAGGTTTACTGGTTTTTCAAGCCAGGACTCAGCAGTCACCTTTTCTTTTTTCTTTTTTTTTTTTTTAAATTTTGTGTACATGTACCATCAAATCAGATCTGACTGGTACAGGAGGATATTGCGCCTCCTTCTCCAGCAGAGCATCTGGTGGATTCGAACCGTGTTCCTCTGGGATTGCAGTTCAGTTTCTTGCCACTAGGCCACCAGAGCTCCCCTAAGCAGTCACCTTTTCTTGACTCCTTCCTTTCCCTCAGAAGTAACTCTAGCTAAATAGTAGTTGTTGGTGTCTCTACAGCTGTTCTTTGTTCTTTGTCTGTGGCTGAATCCCCAGAGCCTCATGGTAGCTATTCAATGAATATTTGTCGAGTTAAATTAGAAGAAACTTAGAGAAGAGTGATCTTAAGGTGTAGAAAGTAGAGTTGAGGAAAAGCAAATAGATCTTGGTTAATAGATTAACTACAGGCAGTTGCCTAATAAAATAAGCATATACAGGATAATTAGTTTTATTTGGTAATGTACCAGTGAAGACTTTTTTTATTAGGGTTTTTTGTTTGTTTGTGTGTTTGTTTGTTTGTTTTTAAAACTCCAAACTTCCCTTTGTTTCTTCACACAGTTCAGAAATGTCTTAATTTAGAATCGTGCAGAAAACTTGACAAAGTTAATTTCTTCTATAAACCAAAGTCTAAAAGGTATGAAACTTGAGAAAATAACATTGCTGACCTTGAGAGACCTCTTACATGGTTTGCATAGTTGATTATACTCACCTAAGTTCCCCAGTAGCCATTTCTTTTCATAGCTTTTGCATGTGGTGCACTGTCTGTCCTCAAGACACCAAACTAGCGAATCATCAGTGCAGTCATGAAATCTTATCCCTAGGGTATTTTTTTTAAGTATCCTGATACTTATGCTAAGAGATCCCATCAATTTTTATTTAGCTAAAAACACTTGTCTATTGAAAGGAAATTTTACTGTCTAACCACGGGAACTTCAAATTTGCTTGCAAGTATCATTTCTGTTTAAAAATCTGTTTAGTACCATCTAAGATTGTTTCATGTCCTCTAGTGGTGACTTACACAGAGTGTCTATTCATTTAGTAAATCAGATTATTTCTGATGGCAGAAGCAATAAAAGGCACACATTTATAAAATTAATCACCATTGAGTTATGCCTGCTAGTACCCCATCATTTCTTATCCCCATGGGACCTGTCCTAATTCCTTCATCGCCTCCCTCCACCCACAAAACTCTGTCATCCTCGTGATTTCCCCATATTCAACACCCCACACCCCAGTCTCTCTCTCCTTCCCCTTTTGGACTTTTATACACATCTTACTGGTTATTCTTCTACTTTTACAGTAACAGTCTTAGGCAGTATTTGTCCTTATGAGATAACATAGTATATATGAATGATCATATGAAACACAGTGCTATAAATGAATGTGTGAAATACCACGTACATGAACAAAACACAATGTATTCTGAGTTTGTATTCAACCAGTATAAAACAACACACACACACAAAGGCCCAGGTCTGTGGGGACATTCTCCTATGTCACTGACTTGCACATACCACATCTCCTGAAAAGCCCACGATTCCCAAGATAAACCTGCAGCTCTCCAGTTTGTCTTCCCAGCCTGTGCTACCAAACCAGAGAACAAGGCACTGCTCAGTCACCCCGATTTTGCAGGCCCACCCTTCAGCCTCAGCAGTCATGATGTCTGTGGAGCAGTGGGGGCCCTGAGTGACTCAGAGCTGGTGGTGTTATTGCTCAGGGCTGTGCCCACTCCACACAGTGGCCCATCCCGCTGACACCACATCAGTTCATCCTGTATCTCAAGGGCGAAATAGCCAGCAGGGGCCCAGGGCTGTCACTTCTTATTCCCTTGCCTTGTCCAGAAACCACTCAGATCAAACATATTTTCTGTTTGCACAGCAGCATTCTGTCTTTTCCTTTTATGCCTTCTAGACCAGAAACTCATGGCTGTGGAAGCAGTTTTAACTCATGGTTTGTTGTTGTTGTTGTTGTTGTTGTTGTTGTTGTGTGCCATCAAGTCTTCTGTGACTCATAGTGACCCTATGTACAACAGCCCTAAACTCTGCCAATCTTACTGTTTCTGACACACCTATTCCAATTACCCCAGTGACTGAATCAGTCCATTTCATCAAGGGTCTTCCTCTCCTGCGCTGTCCCTCCATCCTCCCAAGCATGACGTCCCTCTCCAAGGAATGATCCCACCTTGCAACATGCCCAAATTATGTCAGACAGAGCTTTAGAATCCTTGCCTCTAAGGAGCAGCCTGGCATCTCCTCTCCCTCTCCAGGACGAACTTGTTTGTTCTCCTAGCAGTCCATGGTATATTCAGTACTCTTCTCGAGCACCAAAGCTCAAAGGCATCAACTCCTCTACCATCCCTAGTCATTGTCCAGTTCTCTGAAGCATAGCAAGTAATAGTAAAGAACATGGCCTGTATCCGGTGCACCTTAGTCTCCAGACTGACATCGTTGCTCTTCAGTACCTTGGAGAGGTCTCTGACAGCAGACTTTCCCATCGCAATTCATCTTTTAATTTCTTGGCTGCTAGTACCAAGAGTGTGGATTGTAGAGCCAAGCAAACTGAAGCTATCAACAATCTCAATCTCTTCACAATCTATCGTGATGCTGCCAATCGGCCCAGTGTTGAGAATCTTTGTTTTCTTGATAGTGAGCTTCAATCCATATTGAAGGCTGCAGTCCTTGACCTTCTGCAGCAAGTGCAGCAAGTGCACGGTAGCCCTTTGTAAGTTTTCAAAGTTGTAAATCTTTACAGGAGGAAAATATCTCACTCATCTTTTTCCCAGAGAGTGGCCGAGGGGCTTGCTCTGCCCGCCTCTCTATTCACAGCCCAGCCTGCCCCCCACTGTGCCACCAGGGCTCTTCTGGCACAACAACTGTTCGTTGCTATTGACACGGAACCACCTCAAGCTGATCATCTGGTTTTCAGAGGCTATAAATCACACAGGAGGAAACTGCCCGTCTCTCCTGTGGAGCAACTGGTCTATGCGAACTTCCCAGCTTTGAGATGACAGGGAAACTTGCTACCCACAAGGTCCCCTCCATGACTGAACCCCAGGACATTTGACTCTCTTTCATTAGTGGCTTCAAATGTATAGTGAAGGGGAGACAGATCTGCACTTGCCCAGCCAGCTCTGTGGACCTCTCCCCCTCCATCTCCCTGTATTAAAGTTAGTGTAGGAATTGCTAACATTTGCAGATCATTCTAAAATAAAAGTGTGGCAAAAACTGAAAAGTAACCAAAATGAAATTCTCTCAAGTCCTCAAAAGGAAAAATTGTTTTTACTCCACTATTGCTCTGAAATCCAGTACTTTTAAGTATTTGTATTAACAAATTACTTTTACGATGATGTCTTCAAGCCAGACCTTCTATTTCAGCCTCATGTTTCAAAACTGAAGAAACAAAGGCATTTTCCCCACTTATTTTCTGTTGTGCCTGTGAAAAAACCTTTCTGTTTTACCAGTAAAGAATGCGTATTCTAGTCACTCCTTTAAAATCCAGAATATTCTTTGGAGAATAGACTAATAGATATATTTCTTTCGGTTTTTTTTTCTTTTCTCATTTTAAATTTTGAATAATGGATTTCCTTTCTTTATCTGAAGTTGTAACAAAGCCTTTTCCATATAACATATGTATGTATGTAAGTATGTACACGTGTGTGTCTTTAATTTGCAGTATCAATCTTAAAATCCTGTCTGAAACATCAGCTTTATAGAAAGTTCACAATTTGGTGCCAGGTTTCTCTTCCCCTGTGGAAAAGAAAGTGATGATAGGATTTGGTGTAACTTTCTGTATTTCTGTGTTTTCCAGATATGATCTTTCTTCAGGGATCTGAAGTCATATTTAAAGTGGCATTAAGTCTGCTGGGAAGCCATAAGCCCTTGATTCTGCAGCATGAGAACCTAGAAACCATAGTTGACTTTATAAAAAACACACTACCAAACCTGGGCTTGGTACAGATGGAAAAGACCATCAATCAGGTATGGTTCAGCCAGAGCTTCCAGAGACTTCTGCAGTCCTGCTTATGTGGAAATTGAACATTTCTGTCTGGGCTGAAGCTGTTTCTTACTACTTTCTTTGTATTCTAAATAGCTTCTTGTACTGTGTGTGGTGTGGAGGAGGCTCCTAATAGCTATTCTCTCTCTCTCTCTCTCTCTCTCTCTCTCTCTCTCTGTGTGTGTGTGTGTGTGTGTGTGTGTGTGTGTTTGCACTGAAATGCTACGTGGAAACAGCAGTGAAGCTAAAGTTGCATCATATCATTAGGGAAATAGTTATTCCCTCTCAGAGGTTTCATTTATAGTTTGTTCTTCTGAAACACAGGACAGGCTTCAGGGCTTCTGTATATAGGGTCACTGTGGATCTCAGGCGACTCGGGGACATATAACAACAGCAACATGTAATTCAGGCAAGCCTTTATAAATGAAAGATTGTTGTTGTTGTTGTTGTTATGTGCCGTCGAGTCGCCTGCGACTCATAGCGACCCTATGTACAACAGCCCTAAACTCCGCTCTGTCCTGTGCCAATCGCACTGTCTCTGATACTCCCATCCCAATTATCCCAGTCACTGAATCAATCTACCTCATAGAGAGCCTTCCTCTCCTGCGCCGTCCCTCTACCCTCCCAAGCATGAGGTCCCTCTCCAAGGACCGGTCTCTCCTCACTACATGTCCGAAGTAAGTTAGACGGAGCCTCAGAATCCTTGCCTCCAAGGAGCCACCCGGTTTAACCCTCTCCAGGACAAATCTATTTGTTTTCCTAGCAGTCCATGGTATTCTCAGTACTCTTCTCCAGCACCACAGCTCAAAGGCAGGGGTTTTTTTTTCTGCTGCCTAGTATTAATTAGATTTTTTTTCTTGTGACTTGAGTGAAAGTTTACAAAGTGTTTAACCTTCCATGCCACTGTTTATTCACATTGTGTTTTATAACATTAATTACAGTATCCACAATTTAACCACACTCTTCCCACTTCTTCCTTAAAACTCTCATTTCCATTAATCCTTCCATCATACCCATTCCAGCCTTCTGAGCCTTATCCCTGAGCAGATGCTGCCCTTTTATCATTGTGTGGCTGATGATTCTAAGGAATGAGTGCCTCGCTGCCGATACTGTTCTCTTTACAGGCCTGTGCGGTATTTACCTGAGAGTTAAGGCATGAGGGTAAGTTTTGTTCCACAGTGAAGGGTGACTTACATGCCTTTGTCCTGAGGTTCAACCAGTCTGTTTTGGGCCAATAAACCTATCCCTTTTTCTTTTGGGGGAGTTTTGCACATTTGTATTCCCTGTATCTGGGACCTTCTACTGTGGTGCTTTTTAGACTGGTCTGTTGTGGCGTCTGAGTACCATCTAGTTCTTGTCTCAGAGTTATGGAGGCCATGGACAGTTAGTCCTTTTGACTGATTTTCCCAGTGCATTTGTGTGTCTCTTCCCTCATCATTGTTCCAGATAGGGAGACACCAGTGACTGCACCTTAGGTGGCTGCTCAAAAGCTTTTAAGACCTTTAGGCTTGCTCAGTTCTACGGTCAGCTCTCTTGGCACCAGCAGTTTGGAAATCAAAAGATGAATTGCACTGGGAAAATCTGCTGTCAGGGACTCCTCCTGTGTACTGAAAAATAATGATGTGAGACTAGAGACTTAAGGTGTGCCTAATCCAGGCCATGGTCTTCGCCATTATTTTCTATGCATCAGAGAGCTGGGCAGTGACTAAAGATGACAGAAGAAAAAAATCGATGCCTTTGAGTTGTGGTGCTAGAGAAGACTCTTGAATGTACCATGGAGCTCCAAGAAATTAAATAAATATTCCCTGGAGAGGGTGAAATCATGTTTCTCCTCGAAGGCTAGGATTTTGAAGCTCCCTCTCACGTACTTTGGGCATGTGACCAGGAAGGACCAGTCCTTCGAGAAGGACATTGTGCTCGGAATGGTGGAGGGGCAGTGCAGGATGAGATGGACTGATAGAGTAACTGGGGAAATGAGGTTAGGTGTGTCAGAGTCAGTGAGACTGGCTCAGAACAGGGCAGGCTTCAGAGCTGCTGTACATAGGGGCGCGATGGGTCACAGGCGACTCGATGGCACATAACAACAACAACAACAACAGCAATGCCAAAGTAGAACTTGGTCTCTGGACTGTGTTATGCCAGTTGGCCTTGATATCCTCCAAGACGATGAGCCCCAGACCCAGTGAGTCACTCCCTCAGGATGTTTAGTTATGATTAATAAGTTTATATAACTTTCCCTCTGTTGGCTGTGCTGTGTACGTGGATGTATTTACAGCACACACTGACATGAAGGTAGAAATACCATCTTCTAAGCCAGGGTATGATTGCGAATGTAGGACCTTTCAGCTGTCCATGCCTGTTTTGTCTTGCCTGTCTGCCCTTATATCTGCTTGTAGATTAATGTTTATTTTTGCTGATGATGAGGAAATGTTTTAATTATATTTAATAGTTTGCCTTTGTTGACTATATTTCTTGAACACTTTTCCATGTCTTCTCTTTCTTTGGTGTTATTGTGTTGATTATTTCTTTATTGTATGTTACCATTACCATCACACACCTTAATATGTGTACTGCCAACCCAAAGGCACACAGTTCATGTCCACCAGACACTCCAAGAGAGAAAGATGAGCAGTCTTCTCCTCTGTGATTTACGGCCTCTGAAAACCCACCAGAGGGTCAGCTATGAGTCGGTTCCGACTCAACAGTACACAACAACATCTGTGAACTCAGTTTTATTTCCCTCTTTCTCCCTTCCCATCCCTAATAACCATCCAGTAATGTTTCTTTCTACACGTAAACCTTTCTTTGGTGCATATAATATTTGTTCTTTTGTGGCTAATTTCTTTTATTTAGCATTAGGTCCTCTAGATTCATCCATGTTATATGGTGTGTTGTGAATTATTCTTCAGTGTTGCGTAATATTCCATTGCTTGTATATCCCATAGTTTGGTTTTTTATCTCTTGATGGACACTTGGATATTTTCATCTCTGCTGTTACAAATAATGCTTCAATAAACTTGGTTGTGTTGTTGTTGTTGTTATGTGCCATTGAGTCGCTTGCAACTCATAGTGACCCTATGTACAAGAGCTCTAAACACTGTTCTATCCTGTGCCAGCCTAGCCATCTCAAATGCACTTATTCCCACTGCTCCAGTTACAGAATCGATCCATCTCATCAAAGGTCTTCCTCTCCTTCACTGCCCCTCCACTCTGCCAAACATGATATCCCTCTCCAAGGACCAGTCCTCCTTGCAACATGCCCAGAGTATATCAGACGAAACTTCAAAATCCTTGGCTCCAAGGGGCATTCCGGCTTCACCTTCTCCAGGACAAACCTGTTTGTTTTCCTAGCAGTCCATGAAATATTCAATACTCTTCTCCAGCACCACAGCTCAAAGGCATCAGTTCTCTATCTGTCAACCCTATTCACTGTCCAAATCTCTGTTCATAGCATGTAATTGCGAAGACTATAGCCTGGATCAGTCGCACCTTAGTCTCTAGCCTGACATCGTTGCTCTTCAGTACTCTTGAGAGGTCCCTCACAACTGACTTTCCCAGTGCAGTTTGTCTCCTGATTTCCTGGCTGCTGTTACCAAGAGTACCAAGAGTGTTGGTTGTGGAGCCAAGCAAACTAAAGATGTTAACTATCTCAATCTCTTCACCATCCATACTGATGCTGCCAATATATTAATTTATCTCATAGCTCTCATCTCTTTAGGATGTATACCTAGTAGTGAAATTGCTAGATCCAGATTTTTAAGGAAACACCAAGCTGCTTTTCACAGTAGTCACACCATTATCAGCACAGTATCAGAGGCATATCAGAGCTCCAAGCTCTCCACACCCTCACCAGCATTTGCTTCCTGATTTCTTGACTTCACTTTTATTGTTGGAAGAGATAATATCTTATTATTGGTTTGATTTGCATCTGTTTTTTTAATAGCTAGTGATCTTCATGTATTTGTCGACCATCTGAATGTCGTCCTTGAAGAAGTGTCTTTTCATGCCCTCTGACTGTTTTTAAATTGTATTGTCCTTTTCTTGTTGAATTGCTGGAATTTTCTGTAAATTTTAGAGATTAATCTGCTATTAAATGTGTCATTGCCAGTGTTGTTTCCCAGTCTGTAGGTTCTCTTTTAATCTTTGGCTAATTGTCTTGATTCCCATGAGGATTTCTTTTTTATGAGGCCTCAGACATCTAGTCTCCCTTCTGCTGTTTGTATGTTATGTTTGATGATCTGTATATGCCATAAATGAAATACTCTACATTTGTCCCTGATTTTTCTTTGTTGACCTTTAAAGTTTTAGACCATTTTAGACAGATCTGTCTTGGAGGAAGCACCGCCAGGATGCTTCTTAGAGGCAAAGGTGGTGGAACTTCCACTTACATACTTTAAGCATGTTATCAGGAGGGACCAGTTCTTGAAAAAAGGACATTATGCTAGAAAAAGCGGAAGGTCACAGAAAGCGAGGAGGTCCTACAAAGGGATGACTTGTCATAATGACTGTAAGAAGTGGCCTGATGAGCTTATCAGAGAATTGAGGATAGTTCAGGATAAGGCGAAATTCAGATCTTTTGTTCAGAGTCACAACTCAAGGCACCTAACAACAGCTCTATTTAGGTCATTGATCTATTGGAATTTTAATTTTTTTTTAAATTTTTTTTTTATGGAGGTATGGATCTTGTGTCAGTTCCTTCAAATATATATTCACTTTTGTTATCACCATTTGTTAAGGGACTGTCTTACCTCCTCTTACTGAATTTGTTCTTTGGTACATGGGACAGCTCTTTGATAACACAGTTTTGATGTTGCTGTTGTTGTTAAGTGCCATCGAGGAAGAACCTGCCCACAGCTGACCATACAACAGGTTTTCGGAGTCTGTGAACCACACTGGAGGAGACTGCCAATCTTTTTTGCCCAGAGCAGCTGATAGATTCAAATCAAGTGCTTTTGAGTTAGCAGCCAGCCCACTCCTTACCCAC